GTCGATCTCCCGCTCCCTTCTTCCCTCAATTGTGAACAAGATCCTGAGATACTTAAACTCCTCCACTTGGGGCAGGACACCCCCCCTGACCCGGAGGAGGCACTCTACTATTTTCGGCTCAAGACCATGGCCTCGGATTTGGAGGCACTGATCCCCATCCCGGCCGCTTCACACTCAGCTGCAAACCGATCCAGCGAGAGCTGCACAGATGAACAGAGTCGGTGACAAAGGGCAGCCCAGGTGGAGTCGAACTCTCACCAGAAACAACTCTCTTTATCTTTTTCTTTATTCTTCTCTTTGGGGCAGTCGGTAAACAACAACTAGGTTAATACCGCCATCAAAGACATCTTTTAATGCAGAACGGGCGCCTCCGGGCACCTACGTGCCTGAGGGGAGCAGCTTTAACTGATGCTCCGTAATGCGTAATGCTCATTATGCTGCCGTGCGGTATGCATAAGTTAGGCTGTCATTGGACATTATTTCTGGACTCGTTATGAATACTCTTTGTAAACGCCCAAAATAAAAATAAAAAAATCCATAGAAAGTTCAGAGCATGCCAGCGTTTTAGAAGATTCTGGGACGTCAGGCATTCACTGGCTAAATCGGCAAGGTGTAACGGGGGCCTCAACAGCGACATGGAGAACGGGTCTAACTTGGTTCAGTTTGCTCCAATTAACTGAAGAAAAAACATTGATAGACGTGGATAAGTACGCGTACTCACACATGATGGGAGCCTCATCATAAAGGATATATATGGCTGCCACCGTGGTGAAGTCAGCTCTGGGTCTGTGAACCTAGAGGTGCCCAATCAGTGACACGACCTGATACAGCGAGTCTGAACCTACACAGTTCCTCAGAAAAAAGGCAGATGAAGCCAAAAGAAGGATGGACTGTAAGCTTAGCCCCCCCACCGCCGCCTTACAGGGGGTTAGATGGTTTTCTGGTTATGCGTCTGAAACTGAAGACTTTTAATTTGCTTCCAGAGATCCAGAGGAAAGTTACATATCCATTACTCCACAAAGTCCCCTGGAGTTTCTTCGGATAAATAAAAAAAGAGGATTCTTTTTCCACATAAACATAGTCATGAAGTTATTGATTATTCAGTGTTATTAATTATTCCCTTTTCATTTAAAGGAGAAGTCCAATCAGCAAGGAATGATCAGTGGATCATTATCTATACCTAAAACTAATATGTTCGTAGTGATATAAGGAATTTAGCATTCATCAGTAAAAAAATAATACGGTAGTAATCATTTTCGGCTCGATCACTGGGAGTCTGGGAGCGGCCATTTTTGCCCAAATATAGTAACAGCTCACTGCTTTATACAGCACTGGGACTTGATCAACAGCCGATACCGCACCGTCACAAACCGGTAGGTGGCAGTAGTGTTCTTTGAAAAACATGGATTAAATGAAAATTACTCTTTATTAAAAAACAGTTATTTATTGAACAGTGTGTAATAATTTAATATTTAAAGTACTTTCAGAAGTTTGAATTCTGAATATGAGCGGACTTTTGGATCAGTAGGTCAGAGAGACAGGTTCCTCATAGGTGACCGGCCGCCAGGAGAGCCTACCGGCTTGCAGCCATGGCCCTGTGGACCCTCAACCCTCGGGCCCCTGGGGTCGGGTCCCTCAGGGACTGGGCTCCTTTTGGATCTGGGCATTTGGGTTCCAGGTGCTCCAGTCTGCCTTCTCTGATTGGTGCGGCCGTCCTGCCCTCCTTCACTTGCGTCCTGGGCCCTGTAAAGCTAGTGTGGGGCCAGCCACGCCTGCTATTGTGCACACTTTATCTTACCATGAGCAAAACCTTGTAATGAAATGGTTCCATATAGGGAGTAAAACAACAAAGGGAACGTATGAAGCATCCATTAATAAAAGTGAAACAGAGTAAGAGATGACCCTACCTTTTGCTGGACATAGTCCAAGATGTTTTTGAAGTCAAGATCATCGTAGTAGTGTTTAATTCCTTCCCTCATGGTGCTCTGAAACAGGGCCACTGTCTACATGGCACAGAGAAGCAGAAAAAAAAAAGCATTTCTGACTGACCTGACTGCAAATAATCTCATCAGCAAGAACGATGCCAAGATCTGGACAGGATATGCAACAACATGTACCTTCTTTTCAAAGATGAGAGCCATGGCCAGAGTGATTGCCTGGAGGAGCAGCAGCACACACAGAACGCAGAGGAACTGTTGGAGGGAGAGAGAGCAGGAGGAGTCACACCACGATTCAAACAGTCAATCAAAGGGGGTTTCTTTTTATTATTAAGGCAATACCCATTTATCCTTTCAGTTTATCCGTAGTTTGGAAAGATTTTTTACAGTTTAGTCTGATTCCTCTAAGACACGTTTTTACTGAAAAAAAAAATGAATATAAAAAACAAACATGTCTTCAGTGAAAAGTCTGAATACAAAACATGTAGTGAGTTATCTTTGAAATTTAGGTTCCACCCACATAAACCATATATCATCGTAAACTGTTATTCATTGGCTACACATTGATGTCACTCACGTGGAGCTGAGTTTTTACTGGTTGGATTAGGAGGGCAGAGAAGGAAGTCAAAAACTGTAAAAATTGACGCCGATTGGCTTTCTGCTGTTCCAGCCTGTCCCCATCGTCCTGTAACTGGTCAAACAAGCCGTCAATCAAGCCAGGACTTCCTGTTTGAACGGGCGGCAGCATCGAATGCGTTGTTTTTAGCATCTGGTAGCGGGGATTTGGAGTAAAAATGTGGTAATGTTTTTCCCTGAAGATAAGAGTTATCCTGATGTACTTGTGCCTTTGTGGATTTTATTCGACGGCGTTTAGGGCCATAATTTTACCGGATTATCTTTTCTTTTGCTGTTTCAAGCAGAAACAGACCAAACTTGGAGGCAAATATCTGAGTTTACCACTTGGAAGGGGTGAAAGGTAAAACATGAACTTTTTGAGTTTTGTATCTCTCACGTTTCTCTCGATAAAATGGCTGCAGTGTTTGTCCAGGTTCCAATGCTTGGTATCATTGGTAGGGTTGTCAAAAGTATCGATATTCCAAAAAGTATCGATACTAAAACGTATCCGGATACGATAGTCAATTTTAAAAGTACTTGTCTTTCTTGTCTTTCATGTAAATCAATGAGCGCTGTTCCACATCCTCTGCTCGTCACCGCCCACGTACGTCTTCTCCGTCCCTCACCGTCAAAATACGGAGCTGAGCTCTTTTTGGCTCCGCTACGGTAAGTCCAGATCAAGACCCGCAATTGCAATCGCACCAAACAGGAAAAAGAATGTAGAGAAGACCCGGGTTTTCAAATTAAATTATAGTAAAAACAGGTCAGTAACTAGAAAATATAATCCAAAAAACTAAGAGTAATTAATTAAATAATTGGATGCAGACTATTGGTGCTTCAACAGACCAGGAAGAAGTTGTGAGATTCTAGAGTGAATCTCACAACTTTAAAAGAAAATTCTTATTGCAGGAATGGATGAAGAGATGATGAGTTTGGAAGCAGAGAATAAACAGAGTTCATACAAACTATGTATGATCCTAGTGATTCCTGTTACAAAAATCCACAACAGAAAGAAAATATTTGTGCAGAAACTGAACATCTGCTTGATGATGATGGGGATTTTTTTAGATTAAATTAAGCGTTCACAGGTTTT